GTGATGGGTCAGACACGACTTCGCAACTAACAACCACAACCTCTTACACCCCACAACACATATTTTTCTCTCAAGAAACAGTGCAACAATATTTTCATCTCCTTTGGAGAACCACAGTCAGAGAAAAGGCTCCTATCACAAGTCTATGCTGGTTCCTTTCTATTCTTCAAAAGTGCTGATTCTCTTCAAAATATAAGTCACAACCTACGATTAAAATATTTATTCAACCTTGGGAATCTTGTTCAAGATTAAACCTTAAGATTAGGCTCATACTCTGTGCTTCCTCATAGTGCAGAAGATCTGGTTTTAGCTAAGCGTATTCCATAAATTCATCCACCGTGACTTGCAGGCTAGGCTCCACACCTTAGCAAAATGAGAAATCCGGTGACCATAATGACTGAAAGAAGCTTACTAAGTTGTCCAACCTTAACTATTGTTTGATTCATATCTTGTGTATGCTGGGCTTTCAATGCTATTTTGCACAAGCAGAGCTATTATAATTCATAAACCACATGGCTTAATGTAAATGTGAATCCAAGTGTGGTGAAACTTATTTCTAGATATCTATGTATATAATTATGGGTTATAAATTGTTCTTTTCCAGTTCTTCTTGTTACAATTCCTCTAAGCCCCAACAATATAGCTAACAATTGCAATTACTGCAATGCACTCTACATTTGTCTGCCCTTGAAGTCTACCCGGAAACTTCAACCAGTCCAGAATGCAGCAGCTCGCACAATAATGGGGGTCCCTAGGTTTGCCCATGTAACACATTTGTTGCACAAGTTACACTGGCTTCCCATTTCGTTCTGGTTGCAATTCAAGGCGCTGGGCATCATCTTTAAAGTCCTGTATCGCACAAGGCCAGGTTTCTGCAGGACTGGCTTTTCCTAAGGACATCTAGTCATCCCATCATGTCAGATAAGACCCTTCCCCTAAATATTGCCATTTGTTGGGAGCTAGGAAGCTTGCCTTTTTCTGTGGCTGCCCTATGGAACACTCTGCCACCTGCAATTTGGCAGGCCTCCACCTTGAGAAAAAAATTAAACAACTACATATTAGACCAGTGATAGCTAACCTTTTTGGCACCAAGTGCCCAAAGCACGTGCGCATCTCCTGTGCATGCGCCCCGCTGCACCCGTGCATTTGTGCGCATCCCACGTGCATGCTCCCCGTCCCCTGTGCATGCTCCCCATCCCCCGCACACACACCCCCTGTGCATGCATGGCAGAGACCCAAAGACCAGCTGGCAGGCAGGAGGCGCACATGCATGCGTGGTGGGGCTGGGCTGGGCTAGGTTGGGCTGGGCTGGCATGATGGCTGGCGTGCCCAGAGAGAGGGCTCTGTGTGCCACCTGTGGCACGTGTGCCATAGTTCACCACCACGGCATTAGACGTTTGACTTGGCACCAGGTTTTTGTTGGTTTTAATGTGTTTAGCTTTATAATTTGTAATATGGTTCAGTGTATTGTTTTAATTTTTGATCCCCAGAGTTGGTTATAAGATGGTGGCTATATAAATATTTTAAATAAATAAGTTACATGACTTACCAACACTTCGGTTAGGATGTTAAGGATCTTAAGGATTCAATTTGAAATCTTTCAAGGTAAAATATTCGTTTTAACCTGGGCTTTTGATCTACTCCTGTGGCTATCACCAAAACACTATCAATCAAAAAAATCAAAAAAAAATATAATAGACAAAAACTGATCATCAGAGTGTATGCATAAACCTGGTTGGTTTCACGTTGTGCTAAACCATAGTTTATTGACAAGTTTGCATAATTTCCTAACTGTACTTTTTAGCTGCTAAACCGTAATCCCACAAAGTCCAAAATATCAATCATTATTTCTTGGTATGAGGTTTTATTTGGAGCATTGAGTCCTTTAATTTTTTATAGTGGGAAGTATTTTTTTTAAATAGGAGGTTCTATAAATTACATTTAAAGTTCATTTTTAGCATTTCAATGGTTGAAAGGATCAGGTCGGACATGCTTTTGCTTATTATTCTGAAGCAGATCCTAGTTAGAATAAATCATTCCAGAATTAATAATCTGAACACCTACACAACAGCAGTATTTATTTCTCAGTCTACGTTCTTCACTAGTACATTCTGTCCTCACTATAACACCGAATCTTGCTTCTATGAACTGACGCCAAATAGAATATAGTTTGCCCACAACGAATGTTGACACTGATGATACCTTTAAACTTTGAACATCCCCTGAGCTAGGCAAAGATAAACTGAGAGATAGGAAAGGAAAGGTCACCAGGAAGTTTACAGGTCTAGAGGAGGCAGCAAAGAATAAACTTGGGGAGATAACTGAGATACATTTGCCTTTATTTCTTAATTATCAACCAGGTCTTGTTTATTATTTATTTTATTTTTATCCCATCTTTATCATTTTTATAAATAATTCCTGGTGGTGAACATAGCAATAGCACTTAGACTTACCCTGTTTCCCCCAAAATAAGACATACCCTGATAATAAGCCCAATCGGGCTTTTGAGCGCATGGCAATAAGGCCAAGTGCTTATTTCAGGGTTCAAAAAAAATATAAGACAGGGTCTTATTTTCGGGGAAACACGGTATATACTGCTTCACAGTGCTTTACAGCCCTCTCTAAGGAGTTTACAGAGTCAGCATATTGTCTCCAACAATCCGGGTCCTCATTTTACCGACCTCGGAAAGATGGAAGGCTGAGTCAACCTTGAGCCAGTCAGGATCGAACTGCTGGCAGCCGGCAGTCAGCAGCAGTAGTCTGAAGTACTGCATTCTAACCACTGTGCCACCATGGTTCTTATATACAATACTTAATACTCCTTCCTCCTCCTAGTCTCCCTACAACAACAAGTCTGCCAGGTGAGTTGGGCTGGGAGAGAGAGAGACAGCACGACTGACCCAAAATCACCCACCAGCTTTCATGCCTAAGGCAGGGGTAAGCAACCTGCAGCTCTGGAGCTGCATATGGCTCTTTCATCGCTCTGCTGCAGTTCCCTGTTGCCAGTCTGCTCCACCATTGATAGGGCTTTCGGTTAGGACAGGTAGAGGAAAAAGGACGTCGTGCTAGGAGGCAACTCTGGTGGGGGAACCAGACTTCCCGTCGGCTTCAGAATTGAAGGGGGGTCTTCCAATTAGGACCTTTGTGGCTCTTTTAAGTGTTTAAGGTTGCCGACCCCTGGCCTAAGAGAAGACTAGAATTCAGTCTCCTGGTTTCTAAGCCACCACCTTACCCACTACACAGAACTGGCTCTTTCAATGGTATGTTTTCTTCCAATAACCAGTGATTTTGTCTAATAAATAGCAGTCCATCTCACAGAAACAGCTATTTTACTCCTCTCAATTCAAACGCTTGGTATATACACCCCACATTGCTCAATATCTTCTGCACAAAAAGAAGTACAAGTATCTGCTATAGTAGTCTTATAGACGCTGAATAGCTATGGGCTTAATAAAAGATCAAATCCCCTAGAAACCCCAAATCATGTTGACATTCTTGAAGAAAAAGTGAAACAAAAGCATAATAGGACTCTCTTTCCACCCCCACCCCCACCCCCTCCGTTCAATCTTGTCCAATTCTCAGAAACTGCCTGGGCAAGTTTCTGTAATTTTCTTGGCAAGGTTTTTTAGAAGTGGTTTAACATTGCCTGCTTCTCAAGGTTTACAGAAAGTGACTGGCCCAAGGTCACCCGTCTGGCTTTGTGTCCAAGGCAGGACTAGAACTCAAGGTCTCCCAGTTTCTAGCCTCATGCTTTAACTACTACGGCAATCTGGCTCTAAAAGGACTCTGCAGCACTTCAAATCCAATACGCTTAAGAAGACACTGGGATATAAATGCAGTACTGTCTGCAACTCCTTAAAGCAACTGTGTCTTTTTCCAGGATTATGCTGCTTGTCATGTGATCCTGGAAAAAGACACATTTCCTTTAAATCAGATATAGAGGGGGTGTTATTTTCACAACCCTGCAAACTCAGAAGTGCCTTTTTGCCCTGGAATCTGTAGACTCGCACACAGCTTCAATATAAGGTTTTTTGTTGTTTTTAAAGTGTGCCTTTAGGGAAAAGAACAAGAGTGCATGTCAACAACTAAATATAACATTAACCAGCCATATCCTCAATTAACTTTTTAGGTATATTTTATTTCCCGATTTATGAGATCACCCAATTCAAACTCCAAGCAGCATTAAAACAGAAACATATAACAATGATAAGGATAACAGGAATACAACTAACAACAAACAAGCAGTATAACATAAAATGCCATATAAAATGATAACCAAGCACATAACCAAGCACACCTCTGAAGGGGGGTGGGTGGGTGGGATTCCTACTCAACTGATCCCTAACGCTTGGGGGCTTTTCCAAAATCAAGGAAAGTTAGGGCCTGTCATATGCAGTATCAGGGACTATCACAGGAAAGGCACACATCCCAAGTCCCCTAAAATGACAAGGCTTAAAAGAAAGAACACAGGACATGCCCTCCCTCTGGCAGCTGTCAAGTCACCAGGTCCTATGCAGGTGTGCAGCAAAATATATACACCGTTGGCAGAGATGCCATTATATGACAAATTCTTTGTGTGTATCCAATCACACTTGGCTAATAAAGAATTCTATTCTATTCTATATCAAGAGCTACAGAGCATAGAATCGCAGAATTGGATATCGTTTATTCCCATCTATTCTGTCTCTACTTATATCCGATCATGGGCATCTTTTTTTAGGAAATAGCAGTCAACAGGAATAACACAATAAGACTTACTCGAGCCCTGGAAGGGGGGGACGGACACATTCAGACGACAGTCAAGGCTTCAATCAATCAAAAGACGAGCTGGAAGGGACCTTGGAGGTCATCCAGTCCAACCCCCTACTCAAGCAGGAGACCAGATAGATAGATAGATAGATAGATAGATAGATAGATAGATAGATAGATATAGATATAGATATAGATATATGGTCTTTCTCTCTCTCTCTCTTTATACACACACACACATATATATATACCATTTCAGGCAGGTAGCTGTCCAGTCTCTTCTTTAAAACCCTCCAGCGATGATGAAGCTTGCAATTAATCTGATATATACATATATTATATATAGGGTTACCCTTGACCGCCACAACCAACCCACTTTCCAGGTGCAGGTGCCACCTAGGTTGCCCCTGGCAGGCATCACACACCTGTCACTCAGCCTTCCCGCCCACCCACCCACCCAAAAAACACTCTTCTCCCACTCCACGTCCATCCTACTTCAGAGGGTGAGGAGATGGGGCAAGGCTGGGGGGGGGGGGGGGGGGGGCGGCCTCTCACCAGGTAAAGGGTCCCATAGATGCGGAGCGACTCTCCAAACGCCCCTTGGGTGATGTGCACGAAGGCTCGCCCGCAGTGGGGGTGCCAGGTGTGCCCGATCTCGTAGCAGTTGTGGGGGATGGATTTGCTCAGCGCCGCCATCTTGGCCCAGCGGAGGGACCCGGAGGAGGGGGGGGGGGGGGGGGGGGGGAGGGGGGGGGGAGCGCGTCGTGGGAGAACGGCGCGCGCACGCGCACCCACCCACCCCACCACCACCACCACCCGGGAGGCCGAAGCAAGACTGACGCCGACGACGGCGCGCGCGCGAGAGAGAGAGAGAGAGAGAGAGAGCGAACAAGCGAGCGCGCGCCAAGGAGGGACAAACTGCGGCTGCCCGCCCGAGGTTACTCCAGATCAACCACCTCTTTTTTTCCCTCCCTCCGCCTCTCTGGCTTTTGCCGGCTCGCGTGAGCCCGCTCAGCCAATCCCGAGCCGGCTTTCGCCCGGCCGGGCTGGAAGGGGCGAGGGGAGGGGAGGGGAGGGGGAGTGAAGGAAAAAAAAAAAAAAAGGAGCTGGCGCGAGCGGCCCTCAACGCCGGCCCGTCGCCCCGCCCCCTCTCCAAGGGCGCCTAACCGCTGCGCTGCTCTGGCACGTGGATGCGGCTTTCTTTTTTTTTTTTTTTCCGAAAACCGCTACGGCCGTCGGCGGGGGGCAGGGGGTGGGTTTTGCCTTCTCGCGTGGGAAAGCCGGGGACGGCGGCGATAGCAAACTCGGAGAACGTGCCGCCAAAAAACAAAAAAAAAGGCATTGCCGCGGGTGGAGGGGGGGGAGCTGGTTGACCTTGCCCTGAATTCTACCCGCGATGAATGTGGGAATGAGGGGTCGGGGAGGAATTGATATGCTGCCAGCAAGGAAGTTTAAGAATAAGAGGAGAAGGAGAGGAGAAGAAGAAGAGAGGGGGAGGAGAGGAAGAGAAAAGGAGGAGGAGGAGGGGAAGTAGTGGTGGAGGAGGAGAAGAAGTGGTAGAGGAGAGGAGGAGGAGAAAAGGAGGAGGAGGAGGGGAAGTAGTGGTGGAGGAGGAGAAGAAGTGGTAGAGGAGAGGAGGAAGAGAAGAGGAGGAAGAGGGGAAGTGGTGGAGGAGGAGAAGAGGAAGAGCAGAAGAAGTGGGAGAGGAGGAGGGGAAAAGGAGGAAGAGTGGTGGAGGAGAAGAGGAGGAGAAGATGAGAAGAAGTAGTGGAGGAGGAGAAGGAGAAGAAGAAGAGAAGTGGAGGAGGAGAAGTAGTGGTGGAGGAGAAGAAGTGGAGGAGAAAAGGAGGAGGAGAAGTAGTGGTGGAGGAGAAGAAGTGGAGGAGAAAAGGAGGAGAAGAGGAGGAGAAGAAAGGAGGAGAAGATGAGAAGGAGTGGAGGAGGAGAAGGAGAAAAAGAAGAGAAGTGGAGGAGAGGAGGAGGAGAAGAAGAGGAGAAGAGAAGTAGTGGTGGAGAAGAGAGGAGGAGAAGAGAAGAAGTGGTGGAGAAGGAGAAGGCGAGGAGAAGGAGAAGAGGAGGAGGAGAAGACGAGAAGAAGTGGAGAGGAGGAGGAGAGAAGAAGAGGAGGAGGAGAAGGAGTGGTGAAGAAGGAGAAAAGAAGAAGAGAGGAGGAAGAGGAGAAGTAGTGGTGGAGGAGAAGAAGAGTGATAAGTGGGGTGGGGTGTTTGGTGCTCTCTGAGCTTGGTAGTTTTTCTTGCGAACGTTATATTAACCAGTTAGGTAACCTCATCAGTGCTAGTCCCAAAGGTGCTTTTTTCAGGAGGCAACTGGACTGTCTTGTTTATGTTTTCCTTTGAAGACATTTCACCTCTCATCCAAGAAGCTTCTTCAGCTGTGACTGGATGGCGGGGAATGGAAGGATTCATCCTATCAGAGCTGAAGAAGCTTTTTGGATGAGAAGCGAAACGTCTTCAAAGAAAAAAGAAAGCCCAGTTGCCCCCTGAAAAAGCACCTTTGACCTGTTTGACTGAGAATCTATAGACTCTCATCAGTGCTACTGAGCACAGTAACTAGCATTGATGATATTACCTAGTCGGGTAATGAAACGTCTACAAGAAACAACCAAGCTCAGGAAGCACCAAGGACTCCTCATGTCAACCCTGAGCTACAAATATTCTCCTTTATTGATGTAAGCGATAAGATGAGGTAGCAAGCGTGTTCCCCACCTCCCCACGGGTCCGGAAATCGGTGCTTTCCCCTCATGCTATTGAAGGGGGGGAAACTTTATATGGCGTAATAGGCCTCAAAGGGAAAGTTTCCCGACTTTCTCCTCTCAACAACAACAACCCTATTGGGGGGAGAGAACCCAAAATCATCCAGCCGGCTTCCCTGTCTAAGGCGAGGCTGGAACTGGTTTCTAGGCTGGTGCCTTCACCAATAGACTAAACTTGCTGGGTTAAGAATTTCCGTCCTGCTCAGGGGGCATTTATTTCATTTATTTAGAAGATTTATATGGTTGCCATTCATTCAGTGACTGGGTAGTTGGCAAAGCAGTTTTAACAGAATAACAGAATTAGAAGGAACCTTGGAGGTCTTCTAGTCCAACCCCCTGTTGGGAGACCCTGTACCATTTTAGAGAAATGGCTGTCCAGTCTCTTCTTAAAAACTTCCAGTATTGGAGCACCCACAATTTCTGGAGGCAAACCCTTCCACTGATTGATTGTTCTAACTGTCAGGAGATTTCTCCTTAGTTCCAGGTTGCTTCTCTCCTTGATTAGTTTCCATCCATTGTTTCTTGTCCTGCCCTCAGGGGCTTTGGAGAATAGCTTGACTCCCTCTTCTTTGTGGCAATTCCTGAGATATTGGAGCACTGGTATCATGTCACCCCTAGTCCTTCTTTTCATTAAACCTGACATACCCAGTTCCTGCAACCATTCTTCATATATTTTAGCCTTCAGTCTTCAAAGTCTAAGTAGAGTAACAGATAACATTAACAGGTGCTGGCCTAAAAACTAAAAAAACTGATTTCTAATCCCATTTTAGGCATGAAAGCTGGATGGGTGACCGGGCCAATCACACTCTCTCACTCCAGTCCACCTCACAAGGTTGTTGTGAAGGAAATAGGAGGAGGCAAAATTCTTAGATATGTTCATCGCCCTGAAGCTTCAAAAAGTGGGATAAAAATATAATAATAATAATAATAAATTAACTACAGTTAGTCCTCGATTTACAGCCATTCATTTAGTGACAGTCAAAAGTTACAAAGGCACTGAAAAAAGTGACATGGCTGTTTTTCACACAACCATTCCAGCATTCCCAGGGTCAAAATTTGGATGCTTGGCAACTAGTGTGTATTTATGATGATTGCAGTGACCCCGGGATCAAGTGATCCCTTTTTGGGATCTTCTGACAAGCAAAGTCGATGGGGAAAGTTGGATTCGCTTAACCGTGTTACAACAACAGTGGCAAGAAAGGTAAAATAAGGCAAAAAAAAATTCACTTAACAACTGTCTTGTATACACCAATTCTGGTCATAAGGCAAGGACTACCTATGATTATTTTAAGGTATTGTGATCTGTCTGGCCACTCACAATTTTTTCTAACAATTTTTCACACCCTCTGGAACCCTTCTGGGTTCCGACCAGGGAACATAAAATGTATAAGTAGAAGTATCCAAAATGTTCCATGTTGGGGAAAGGTAGCATAAGGATACAAATTAAAATACAGTGACATTTATTTTCCAAATAAACTGTTCTCCATCATTGCACCATAATAAGATTTATGCATGCCTTCAAATCAGTGTTGACTTTGGCAATTTCCTGGACAGGTACCACCAGTTTTCCTGGGAAGAATTTACAACACAGTTAGTTCACGATCAAAATTTCTCTTGCTAAACAAGACAGTGATTAAGTGAGTTTTGCCTCATTTTATGACCTTTCTTGCCATAATTGTGAAGTAAATCTCTGCACTTGTTTAAGGTAGTAGCACGGTTGCAAAGTGAATCTGGCTTCCCCCCATTGATTCCCCCCCACCCACCTGAGATCACACGACCCTGGGACACTGCAACCGTCATAAATACGGGTCAGCTGCCAAGCATCCAAACTTTGATCACGTGACCATGGGGATGCTGCAGTGGTCATAAGGGTGACACATAGGTCATAAAGCCACTTTTCAATGCTGCTGTAACTTTTAAACAGTAAACAAATTGTAAGTTGAGGGCTCTCTGTATAATAGTGGACTAAGTATTTAGAGCAGGGGTGTCAAATTCCATTTCATTGAGGGCTGCCTCAGGGTTGTGTTTGACCTTGGGGCGTGGCCAGTTTGGGCGTGGTCAGCTCAATGTCACTCGTGTTGGGGGCACTTTGGGTGGCCAAGTGCTAAGGCAGGACTTCCCTTAGACCCTCCCTCACTCTCATTATAATCCTTCCTTCCTTCTGTTCTTTTTCCTTCCCTCTTCGTTCCCCTTTCTTCCTCCTTCCCCCCTTTCCTTATTTTTCCTTCCTTGCTCTCTTCCCATCTTTCCTTTTTTTTCTTTGCCTTTCCTCTTTCTCCTTTCCTGTCCCTTCTTGCATGCTCAAATGCAAAAGGGGAAACATTTCTCCTTCTGTTTTGTTTGTAGTTTGTCTTCCTAGCCCTGGACCGGCCCAGAGGGCTGCAGGAGGCCGTTGCGGCTGAAAACGGGGTCTGGGAGGGCCACGCATGGTCCTCCCAAGCTCCATTTTCGCTGGCAGAAGCACCACGAGCCAGTCCTTTGCTGTTTCCAGGGGAACCGCGCAGGCTTGATCTAAGCACCCTGTGGTCCAGATCCGGCCCGTTGGCCTTGAGATTGACACCCCTGATTTAGAGTGACAGACAAGTAGATCCAAATCGCCCTGGTTATTTAAATATCACATCAGTTGCTCTAGTTACCACCTTGATTGAACTGGGTAAACCTACCAATAAAGGAGAATATTTGTAGTTCAGAGTTGAAATGAGGGTCCTTGGTGCTCTCTGAGCTTGCTTGTTTTCTTGCAGACGTTTCATTACCTGACTAGGTAACATCATCAATGCTAGTAAGGAGTGGACTTGGCTCTCAGTTTATAACCTAGTGGCTTGCCCTGTCAGTGTTGGTGGGGTTGGTCTTATAGATTCTTTGATTGGGCTGTTTACTGTTAAGCTGTTTAGCTGTTGCTTGACTGGGATATTGTTTATTTCTCGATTATTGGTCTGATGTTAATCTTGGTGTTAATCTCTGCTCATCTGGGTGCCGATTGCGGGGGGGGGGGCG